GCTGATTAATTAGCATTCGTCAGTGTTATGTGTTTCCCTTTTATTTGTATTCACATGAAAAACGAAAAAAAAAAAAAAAACAGATTGCTTACAGCAAGGGCATTTTATTATTCACTCATTACACTACTTATTGTTTCCTCTTTGCTTTACAACAAATTAATCATTTGAATTAGTGTGTAAAGTAAAGCAAACTCATTTTTAAATTACGATGTATTTTAGTGACAATTGATTTCCAATTGTGTTGGGTTTTAGTGAAAATTAGCTCTTTTCTTCGGAAAAATTGAATGAACATAAGGCGAATTCTGTTTGTAAAGTTTAACAAAAAAGCAGAAATTTAAACTTAAACAAAGCTGCTGAAACAATAAATCAACCAAAACAAAAACCAATTTTTAGTAGACTTTAAAAAAATGAAACAAAACTTAAAAAACATAGCAAACATATACAGCTAGGTTGTATTATCGGCAGCCCTTGGAATATTGTTGAAAATGTATTTAAATAGTTGTAAGACATGGAAGATAATGAAATGCAGCTTGTATCGGTTAGTTTTTCAACAATTTGTTCCTCATATATAAAATGGAAATAAATAAGCCTGCTGCTTCGATACAAATCAATTTCCTAACTAATATCTCAAGTTGACAACAATATAATTAATATAGTTTCCTTTACATGCGAAATTATCAACTTAATATTTATAATATATAGATTATTAATTTCAAAAGGAAAATTGAAATGAAATTGTGAGTCATGCATTAATTTATAAGAATATTTGTTGGCGCACTAGCATGTAATAAATAAATAAAAATAATAACAATAAATATTTGCATCCAGAAAGAAATTATAGTAATTATTTTGCTTCAATTTCACACTTTTCTTAATAAATAAATAAATAAACTTATAACCATGCTATTATTATACAAAACTGAATTGTTTTTGTCGACATTAAATTATTATTTCAACTTTTAAAACAAATTTGATATTCTTTATGCTGTGATCTATAAAAATATGTCAATATTTTAAATAATTTCCAAATTGTAAATTAGAACTTAATACAAGCTGTAACTATTTTAATAAATAATTTTGTATTGTTTAAAGGAAGTTTCGATAACTACTGATTATCGCCAAAGTGTTATTTTTTTAACATCTTAATTCTTCTTAAACGACTAAAAATAATTCATCAAATCTTACTCTAATTTATTTTACAATTTATTATTTCATTGTTATTTTTTTTAAGTGCTCTTTAACAGAAATTAATTTGGAAGTCTTTTCAGAAATGCTGACTTAAAAGGTCATAAATTTTCGTGTTTTGTTTTGTGCTGAAAATCTCTTGAAAATGGCAATTATTTGCTTGATTTATAATTAAGCGTAATTTGCACAATTTACAAATTTGGTTTGGCGCGGGGGTCAGGCTTTTGGAGCTAATTTCCCTATAAATTTGCATTTGGTTTTTGTTTTCAGGCCGTCCATAAATCGCGGCACCACTTGCTTGACCTTGTTGGAGGTTGCACACACACACACATACATACATATATACATACTTATAAGCGCCTCACATTGGCAGCGAAACGAAAAATGACTTTACGTGACAAGCCTGCAGATCGAGTTGAGTTGAGAATGAAAATGTTTAGCATGTTGGTGTTGGGGCATAAACAAATTTCAAAAAGCTGCACCGTTTTCTTTGGGTCAACTGTGACTGCCACTGGCTCTACTGGTGTTGCCTCTACTGGTGCTCCTTCTACTGCTACTGGTGGCCCAGCTGCTGACCAAGGCACTTAGGCTTGGACACATCCGTTACAAAACAATTTTGGGCTTTTTTCTATTCTTCGTTTTGTTTTGGTTTGGTTTGGTTTTATGCCTCGTTTCACAATTCAATGGCCTGTGCGTTCACTTTTGAGCAATGGCCAAGGGGAAATAAGTGCTAAAGTCTGCATTATGCTGCGCTTGTGCATTCAAATATTAACATTTTTCATTTTGGGGGCTGCTACTAAATGTGAGGTTTATTCAAAGTCGTCCGAAGGCGACGATTTATGGCACTTGAAAGACATGCAAATAATCCGAGAAAAACTTAACTGAATAAAAGTACAGCACAAGCAACTTTGCAAGGCATTGCGAAAAGATGTCACCCTGCTATGGTTCCATAAATGTATGTACTAATATGCTGAAGACTAAGACAAATATAATATCTCAGAGAAAGAGATTAAATGGACCTAAAAGTGAGCGTTGAAGCGAAATGACTTTCCGAATGTTAACAATAATTATTTGAAAGAATCCTTTTAAAAACATTTTCTTTTTTTTTTTCTGAGAAGGACAAGTTTTCTTCTGTATGTACAATTTTTAAGACTAATACAAATATAATACTACAGAGAAAGACTCTAAATGGTTCAAAGCATGAACTAAAAAAAGCTAAATAAAGTCCCCAATGGAAAAAAAGTTTAGAAACCATTTATTTATATTATTTATATTTATTTATATTTTTATTATTATTATTTTTATTTTTTGTTTGTTTTTTTTTTTGCTGGTTAAGGACAAGTTCTCTTTTGGGGCCACAATATAGATTTTTATGGGAACTGTTTGTATATTTTTTGTTTTTGTTTGTTTGTTTTTTCAAACTCAACTAAAAATGTATCTATAGCTTTCGCGATTAAGGTTGCACTTGAATGATGCTGATCTGAATATTTTAAAATTTAAATTAAATAAATAAAAGAGCCGTTTATTTGGTCAAGAGTTTGAAAACCATTGCGTAGATTTAAAGCCTGGGCAGAATGTTTATAAATAAATGACATTAGTGATTTACAAATTAATAATTACAAAATAAATTACAAAATAAATTAAAAAAAAAAAATCCTTTCGAAACAACTTCAACAACAATTGATAACAGTGTGAACTTAAGGATCTTTTCATTGTTTAAACGGTCTTAATGTTAAGTTGAAATTACTAAGGTCAGCATTTATTAAAAAAAAAAAAACAAGGAAATTTTAAATTACTGGCCGAAAGAAAATAATGCAAGAAAACTCACATTACACAGACAAGCACAGAGCTTTTTTATTTAAAAATAGACTTAGAATATTTAGAGCAATTCTTAATGCCAAATTCGACTTTATTTCATTTATTTGTTTCAAATATTTTACCTAGAAGCTAGTAACCTATTTAAGCTTCACTAACCACTTTCAATTTATTTCATATGAAAAGGGGAACAGGCCTGTTTATTACATTTAAACTAAATCTCCCACTCCCAGTTAACAGTGTCAGCTCTAATTGATCTTTGAAGTAATTGTAAATGCAATCAGGCCTCTTAAAATGTTAATCCATCACTATAATTGAGTGTGAGCGGCAATTGTTTGCAATCATCATCATTACCAGACACTATTTAAGCACGACTTAGAACAAAATTACTGTGATGAGCTCGTACTCGACCGATGTCAGATTAAATAACACATATAGTGCGAGCAAGAGTAGACAAAAAATAAATGAAATCAACAGCCTGACAACCGGGACTGGAACCACCTATGTTTGATTTAAGGTAACGAACCGCATGACTTGATATCACATTTACTGCTAAACAGACAAACAAAAGCTTACAAACTGAATTAAATAACAAACAACTTTTTCTGTTAGCAGCAAAAAGTGATGACACGAATAATTTGGTGTCATTATTAAAAGTATTGTTTCTTTTTTTTTTTTGTTTTTTTGTAGCCATGAGACGCCGTTAAAATGTGTAAAATAATTAGAAAAAAGCCGTAGCATCGAATCACGTGAATTTGTTTAGATCATATGCGTCATAATTAGATGATACACAATAGAGATCATCAAAGTGTTGGCCGACACAAGAGCACAGCTGTTGGTGACGGCTTGTGCCAATAGCCGAATAGGAATAGAGCTATATGTGTACTCGTACTCGTATATACCTTCGTATAGCCAGTTCTTAGCCTTATCGCAGTATGCAAATGGGCTGGGCTGGGCCATGTGCTCCCATTGTTGTTGTCGTCGTCTGCCTGAATGTTATAATTGAAGCTAATTATTGTTAATTTTTAATAAATTTTTTATTACGGCTGTTACGTTTTTTTTTTTTTCCTTTCATTCAATTTACATTTTTTACCTTTTTTTCTGTGCAGCAATAATTCAATAAATATTTGCGTTATTCTTTAACATTTTCACAAGTTCACAAAATTCCACACACACATATATACATATATATACATGTCTATATAGTAGCTTCATATATCATGTGGCGGCAGAATCGGTAGTCGCAACAGGTAATGAATTTATTTCAACGCTAAACGCTGAACGAGATAGTAGTAAAAATTGTACGTTAACGCTTAGTGGCTTTAATCAATCGATTCGCGTCGGTTGAACGATGTTCAAAGTAAGCGATCGTGCAGATATCATATAGCGAATAAAACCAGTGCGAATTAAATAAATAATAAATACGACTAATCTGATTGCAGTAGAGTGTTGAATGGAAATGTGTTTTTGAATAATAATTCACTTCTTCAACTAGCTACTAAATATTAATGTTTAACTAAAGTAGCATTTACGTCTATATTGAAGAAATAATATTAAGCTGTTATGAGTAGTGCTTTCGAAAAAATATATCAAAATGAATGAAATGTGATAAAGGCAGAAAATTCAACCCACTCTTAAGGATAAAAAAGCTCTTGATTCCTGCTTAGGTTCCGCCTGGTTAAGCAATAAAAAGGAGTTAGCTTGAATTTAATGGAATGAAATCTGATAAAGGCAGAAAATTCAACCCGCTCTTAAGGAAATATAAGCATTTGATTTCTGCTTAGATTTCGCCTACTTAAGCAATAATAATTAATAATTATTATAGTAATAATTATGCAATAATAATTGGTAATAATTATATTTATCAGCATTTTCCAAAGCGAGCAAGAGAGAAAATTCATGATAATAGCGCTCAAGAAAAGTCAACCAATATTAAAATTCCTCCCCTTTTAATTCCCAAGCCTTTGTTTATTAAAGTTTTCTATCTTAATCGGTTTTAGAATCAAATAACAATGACGGCCAATGCTGATTTGAATACCAGTGCATCTAATGAGGATAATGCACAGACAACAACAACAACGACGACGTCAACAACAACAACACCAACAACAGCGATTACAATTCCAGTGCCCACAGTGCCCAGCGATGTTAATATATCGCCAATGCCAAATGGGAATCACAAGAGCACAATTGTGATTGATAGTCAGCCAAAGCGACGCGTCAGCATTATCTCCGATCCGCCAGTGATCGGCGTCAATGGCGCCTACGACAATCCCGGCTACGAGCAAAATCCTAAACGCAAAATATCACAGGTACGAGCAATGAAAAGAAAAAGCAATCCGTAATGGTTATAGTCAACAAATTGCTGCCCGTAAATTTTGGATTTATATGAGCGTTGATTGTAAATTTCAATTTCAATTTCAAATACACAAGTCTATATTGCCTGTCGGCAATATTCTGATAACTCCTTTATGAAAACGAAAATGCAATAAAAATAATAATAAACATGAGCTTGCAACACAAGCGAGAAATTGCCAGCCATTATTGCTATTATGCCCTAAATATTTGTTGATTGCTGATTTGTTCAGCGTTCACCTGATACAAATAATATTAATAACTATAATGAATTGCTTTTTCACACACACAGACCTCAACACATTCGCACACCGACATAGGACCGGCGCGAAGGAAGAGCATATTGAAGGATCCTGTTATCCATGACAATGAAAGCGATCGTGCGTCTACAAACAGCTATGGTGAGTAAACGGTTACCTATTAACTATTAACAGGGTATACATGGATATAATTCATATCCATATTTGGGGTTTTGATACCCACATCCATAGCTTGAAGATGTAGAACTCGTTTAATTTTCATTTAACGCGTTTCATTTGAAGCTGCATCGAGTGGCGAGCAATTTCCTACTTTACAAACTGAATTTTGCTGAATTCCATATGCTAGAGTATCTGTTATATTATTTATTATATTATTTTTTTTGTTATACTTTAAAAACATAATTTGAAAATGTTTTATAGTCGTTCAGTTATGCTTGTATGTATATTCTTTAATCCCAATTGAAATTTTCCATATGACGAAGCATTATTATGTCCGTCTGTCTGTTCCTTTCTATATAAGAGCCCAATAAAGATAGAGCAAGCGCACTTGTCCTAAGCAGGAATGTCAAGTATTTCATTAATCAAGTTTGTTTTGAATAGCTTATAAATCGCTTTGCACTTAAAAGTAATGCCCATAAAATGAAGTTGCTTTTGGAAAGCCAGACGAGTCATGCTTTTGATAACTACAGGAAACGTATTTCCTCTATACACCTGATCAGGTATCGCTAAATAACGAACTGATGCGCACTCCGAGTATATGGGGAATGTGTAACACATAAATTTGATTAATTTGGTAGCAGTTAGTCGCATTATCTCTGACTTGAAGCGAGCGCTGGCTGATTTCAAAGGTCTACCGAAGTCAATGAATATTTGTTGGCAAATACAAGGGTCTCTGTTTGAGCATTCGTGCCACTATTTCCAATTCAATTTGCCAGCCCGCGGTTAACATTATCAATTAGCAGCAAAATGGAAATGTGTGTGTGTATGTCTGCGTGTGTATTTTTTAATTTCATTTCGCTGGAGCTGTTATTTTTTTTCTCATTCTTGTATTTGTATTTGACGCACCTGTACTCGTATGCATGTTATTCCGTTGCCCATATTTATCACCCCAATTAGAGTTGAATGCTAAATGACGAGTTAATTTGTTTCCCCGGGAATCGCAATTGTTTACAATTTCAGACTACAGGCAGAATGCGCTGGACGTGCTCAATGCCAAGTACAATAGTCAACAACAATCGCAGGGCGGCAGCGGCGGCGGCAACAACTATGTGGAGGAGTCATGGATCTACACATTCTGTTTAAAGTGTCGCGGGGAGGAGCCTTCATCGTCGTGGGAGCCACCATTTTGGCAAAAATGCTTTCCATATCCCCTCTGTCCCACGTTCCGCACATTCTCACGTCTGGTAGTTCTCATATTGATTGGTGAGTGTGCAATACGTTCTAGTATACTAGAATAATACAAATGAAGAACTTTATTGAATCAAGCTTTAAAGCAAGCTTTAAATTCAGGTATAAAACTAATTAAAACTCTATAAGAGAGGTGTTGCAAAAATCCGAAACGCCATTCTAATTTTTAGTGAAGAAGAGAGATTATTAGAATGAAAATCATTTTCCTATTAAGAATGCCACAATCTAATTTTAAGTGAAGAAAGGAGATTTGTTAGATTAAAAACAATTTTCCTAATGAGAATGCCACTAATTCCTTAAAAAATACAGGACTCTATAAAAGAGGTGTTGCAAAAATCCGAAACGCCATTCTAATTTTTAGTGAAGAAGAGAGATTATTAGAATGAAAATCATTTTCCTATTAAGAATGCCACAATCTAATTTTAAGTGAAGAAAGGAGATTTGTTAGATTAAAAACAATTTTCCTAATGAGAATGCCACTAATTCCTTAAAAAATACAGGACTCTATAAAAGAGGTGTTGCAAAAATCCGAAACGCCATTCTAATTTTTAGTGAAGAAGAGAGATTATTAGAATGAAAATCATTTTCCTATTAAGAATGCCACAATCTAATTTTAAGTGAAGAAAGGAGATTTGTTAGAATAAAAACAATTTTCCTAATCAGAATGCCACTAATTCCTTAAAAAATACAGGACTCTATAAGAGAGGTGTTGCAAAAATCCGAAACGCCATTCTAATTTTTAGTGAAGAAGAGAGATTATTAGAATGAAAATCATTTTCCTATTAAGAATGCCACAAATTCCTTAAAAAAAAAACATTTGCAATTATTCTATTAATATTGATTGTATCTAAGAATGAAAATAGAGTATGTAGGAGTGTTAAAGAAACCTCCTTCGACCTATTCCCATCTATAGAAAACACGTTCCTGCTCGTTTTTATATCAAGCTATCAAGAATTATTGCCAAGGATCATTTAAATAAAACATATAATGAAGTATGTACATCTATACATAATCCTAGCCATCAGAACTGGTCCTAAAATAATATTATAAATATTTCAAGAATTATCAACCAATAATTGTTGAAGAATCATTTTAAAAAAGTAGTAGAATGAAGTCCCAAAATTATTTTTCCAAAATTTCAAGAACTATCAAATATTATTGCCAAAAAGGATTAAAAATAAAAGAGAAGTATCTCTATATATAATCCTAGCCATCAAAACTGGTCGTAAGATTATTTTTATAATTTATTAATAATTTCTAATTAGAAATTGCACATCCATGGATGTTGTTAGTTGGCAGAGCAGTGTTTCTTACGAAGGAGAGTAATGCTTTTATGTGGATTTTTAATTTATTAATCATTTGTAGAGTTGTCATATAAAATGGTTAAGTTTTATATTATTTTGATTTATATGTGAAGGCTCTTTGCTAACTGATTCCGAATCGGGACTACAAAGACCCATCAATTTTTAGAAACCAATTGAAGGCTTAATCTCAAGATCGATTTGCAGAATTACCTTTAAATTCGAAAAGTTATTAAGTATATTGAATAATTTCTATCTCTGTTGCGAACTTTTTAAATTAACTAATTTGTCATGTAATGGTTAAGTTGAGTATTATTTTCTTCAAATATTACGATCACAATAGAATAACTTTTCTGTTTTTTCTGATTTCTATTTGATGGCCCTTCATGTGCTCATTGAAACTGAATCCGGAACACAAATAATATCTTCCAAAACTTTGCGCCATAATTTCTACAGAATTTCCTAAAGAACTACTGATAAAATCGAGATGTTTTTTTTTTTTTTTTTTTTTTTTGAGTAATTTGTAACTCTGTTGCTGACCTTTTTAAGTCAAAAAAAAAAACCCCCCCTTCAATAATTTAACTATAAATCTGCCTCTGAAAATGGTGCAGCGTTTATTGAAGCGGTTGGAAAACATTTTGCCAGCGCGTGAAACCTTAAGAATCTTTTCGCTTGTGGTGGCATCCTACCAAGAGTTTCTACCATGCTCATACGATGATCTGCTTGCAGGGGTTCTGATCTGGGTCACTGCCTATGTCATCATTGGGAAGTCGGCTGCCCCTGGAGGGCAGCTCTTTGGCTTGGTCGTACTGACAGTGGCTGCGAATTTTGGCGGCTATTTGGTATCGTTGGCGACGCTGCCGCGTTTGCTGGGCATGCTGCTCACAGGCATACTCTTTCAGGTGAGTTAGAGAGCTTATTTTATTTTTAATTTGTCCCCAATACTATATTGAATTCCATTATAGAACCTGGGCTGGGTTGATCTGGATGGAGAATTTTCGACGGTTACAGCGCATTTGCGGAAATTCGCTCTAACCATCATCTTGACTCGAGCTGGCCTCGAAATGGAACCCGCTGCCTTTAAGAAGGTATACAAAACTATACTTAAGCTGGGCCTGGTGCCCTGGTTGATAGAGGGACTGGCTATGGCAGTTTTGTCACACTTTCTGCTCGACTTGCCCTGGATGTGGGGCTTACTGCTGGGCGCTATTATTGCCGCTGTCTCTCCGGCCGTCGTGGTGCCCTGTCTGTTTCGGTTGCGAACCAAGGGCTATGGCGTCGCCAAAGGCATTCCCACGCTGGTTGTGGCCGTTGCCGGTGTCGATGATTCGGTATCAGTGGCCTTGTTCGGCATCATCAGCACTGTTATGTTCTCGGACAAGGGTCTGGGCTATCAGATTGCACAGGCACCGGTCTGCATTATTGGCGGATTGGGCTTCGGTGTGCTCTGGGGCTGTATGGCCCGCATATTCCCGGAAAAGGGCGATGCCTATGTGGTGCCATTGCGAACGCTGCTGCTCTTCACCGGCAACTTGATGGCCATCTATGGTAGCGAGACACTGGGCTTTGAAGGCGCCGGTCCGTTGGCCGTCGTCTTCTCCTCGTTCGTTTCAAATCTATTCTGGTGCAAAGATGGCTGGGATGTGGAAGATAATCCCGTTTCGACGGGCTTCGAAATATTCTGGATGATATTCGAGCCCATTCTGTTTGGACTGACGGGCGCCACGGTGAAAATTAATGAGCTGGACTCACACACGGTTTCCCTTGGAGCCGCCTGCATTTATGCAAGCGCATTGCTTCGCATCTTCACCACAGTGGGCATCGCCTTTGGTGATCATCTCAACTTGAAGGAGAAGTTCTTTGTCTCCTTGTCGTGGATGGCCAAGGCTACGGTGCAAGCTGCTCTGGGGCCCGTGGCTCTGAAGCACATGGGAGCTAATTCAACGGATGAGGAGCGCAGTTGGGCCACCACCGTGCAAACGATTTGTGTGCTCAGTATAGTTCTGACCGCGCCACTCGGCGCCATCCTCATCTCCATAACCGGTCCGAAGTTGCTGACAAAGACAAAGCAGCCGCAGATTCTTGAAGGTAAGTGCTTTTTCATTTTTCTGAAAAACTATTCGCACTATAATCTGTGGCTCTCTTTATTATACAACAGGTTGGCGTCGCAGTCATCGTCCGTCCATACGCGACATTAGTATCATCGATGAGGAGGAGGAGCGCGAGGATCCCGAGTTGCCAGCTGACAAGGAAACTCAGGATAATACTCAGAGCAATGCGCATATACCGAACATTTCCTATACCTATAACAAGTAATCGACTAAAAACACGAGTCGTGCAGCATTTTCGCTGTTGTTGATTTAAATTCGAAATAAATTAGTCAATTTTTAATATTCGAAGCCTTCTTAGCCTGTGAACCGAAGCAGCGAGAAAACTGAGAGAAAACAATGTATAGGTACAGCGTTTTATTGTTTATAATTATTTTAACACAAATCAAGAAGTCAGTTTCTACAAATATTTCTGCACTGGCTCCCCCAGTATGGACTCCAGTTGCTGGACAGCGCTACGGGTGTTTTTCTCCACACGATCGTGCTCATCCTCGAGCAGTTCGGCTATGAAGGGCACCGTCTCCGGCAGCAACGGAGCAAAGCTTTCACCCAATTTTTGGGCAATTGCGACACAGGTATTGAAGGCCAATATCTTTACATCGGGCTTCTGAATGCGCGTCTTCAGCAGCACCTGAGTGTTCAGCTGTTTCCAGTGTACATCATTGGAGACCGCCACCGCCAATTGGGCAATGCAAGTGGTCAGCGACTGTTGCAGGGATTCGCGACTCAATACCAGTTCATTCTCCAGCTGATCCACAATGGGCTGCATTAAGGTGTTGAAACGATGCGAGTTAAGGAAATCATTGGTGCTGTGCTGGAACACGAGCTGCAGGGTACTTAAAATTGCGGACACCAGCTGTTCGTTCAGGGATTCATCCTCGTTATTGTGGCTCTCTCTCAGCATGTTGTGTTCGTGCAGTAGTCGCGCCGCGTCCTGAATAAAGTTGTCGGCAAATATCACAAACAGCGACTTCAAGGCCTCGGCTATTTTGTTGGTTAACAAAAAGTATGTGAGCATTGGCTCGCGTTGCTCATTTTGCTGCAAGGCCCATTTATAGACCTTGCTGTACATGGGTCTGAAGCTGGTCTCCGACAGCTTCAATATCCAATGGACGAAGGCCTCAATGACGGCTGCTTCAATCTGATCAACGCGCTCGCGACTCAGACCACGTCCACGCACGTGCAGTCTAAACTCCAGCGCCTGCAGAAACAGCTCTCCAAGTTCCGATTGGACAGGTTGCAGCTGCGCATTGTTGTTATGCTTCAGACACTGCAGCAAAAGCTTCATTAGAGTGGACAGCTCATCGTAGCTCTGCGCATCCAGAAGATTGGCGTAGACCTTAGCACAGCTGGGCACAAGAACGCGCACTTCTGTGCCCTTCGCAATGCTCAGCCAAACGTCGTCAATTCGCAACTGAAGCGCCTGGGCGCGCTTATCCTGTGCCAACTGGTCCTGACTTAGTTGCGTGGAGAGGTGAGCCAGAGGGGTGATTATATCAACCAGATATGGTGCCAGAAATAGAGGCAGGGCAACAAACAGTTTCTGAATAGCTGCGTAAGAGAGAATAATGTTATAAAAGAAATTCAAAAACTTGCAAATTTGAAAACAAAAATGTAAGTACAACCGCCACAGCAAAGTTTCCTAAGTCAGCCTGTTTATTCCAGAGAAACATGGTCAAGTAAATAACCTGAGGATAGTTTCGTGAACTAAGCTTGTTAAAAGTTCTTAAATCAATCGAGATCGATCAGTACCAGACCCTAAACGTTTCGGAAACTGAAATAAATGCTTCTTGAAGTGAGGGTTTTGAATGCTGCATGGGCAACTTTTTCTGTGACGAAACCCATAGCTTGGAAACAGGCGCAGATAAATGAACAGCGGTCAAATTATTATTATGAATTTAAACAAAAATCAGCTGTGTTACGAAGATGATTACATGAATCTAACGATGTTAGATAAGTTAGGTAAGTACAATAAAATAAACACACTATCTTCAGTAGTTAATTTGCCTTCTATCTACTAACTACATAATTAAAAATTAATTCTTAAATGGAAATAGAACTGGGTTTGCTGAGGCAAAGCTCGGCAGCCATCGGTGACGGCTGATTTTCTATCAATTTTTAGGGGTTCGTAAAATGCGAGCAAAACTCATTCGGACACACGAGAAATTCTGCCGCGGGTCGCCGTGCTTTGCTGCCAACTGAAGCAGAGTGTCGTCTGAGCCGTCCGTGCTTCGCTGCCGACAGCAGCAGAGTGTCGTACAAGCCGGGCTGCAGAAGCCGAGCGCTCGTTCGTGCTCTGCCGACAGCGACTCACTACTACCCGCGACAGAACTTCTTCTGGTAGCTGCTTATAATTGTTTTTACATTTTCTAGCGAGGTTTCTTTCTATTTTTAGTGGGTTTTCCATTTTTTAGCGAGCTTCTAGCTATTCTAGCTAGCGTTTTTTAAAACTATTTACTAGCCATTCTTTTCATCAGCCAACAATCATTAATGAATAATTATAAAGGTCCGCCAATATAAAATGTTAGAATGAACTTGGTATGTTTATGGACTAGGGAAGAATAAGCTGAGAAGGACATGTCTAATCGTGTCATTTACACTTCTAATAATAATTGATACTGCTCTCGAGCTAATCAATGGAACGAACACTTACCTGTGATTAGAGCGGAGCATAGATAGTCTGGCGCTGGTTGCAGCAGCTGCTCCTTCAGCATTTCCGTCAATTGTGGCATGAACTTGGGCAACTGAGCCAGTGCATGAGCTTTAAGGCTGGCGCAGATTTCGACCAGAGTGAGCAGTACATTGCCCACCACTGCCTTGGGCACCATCGAGCGCATTTTCGTGATTCGCGTGAGTGTAGCCAGCAGCGAACGACATTCCGTAATGTATTCACGGCCATAGCGTTGGGCCAACAGCTGGATGGCATGCAGTGCTGATTGTTGCAACTGCGCCTGCTGGGCATTGTTGGCATTCTGATTCAGGACGACGTCGACAATGTCAACCAAGGGTGCGAACAATATGCCAAAATGCTTGGAATCGCAGTTACTAAAGTATTCATTATTCGCCTGCAACTTGTCAGCCAACAGCTCCAGGACTTTGATGCGCACATGGATTATTTCATGTTGCAGCAATTCGGTGATGACGCTGAGGAAATATTCAGGTGAGAGCAGTCCGATGGCATTGTTCAGAATGTCGTGCGCATGATTGCCAATGACCCGCCAGTACTTCTCCAGCGAGAGCGTGCCAGCGGCACTCAGTAACGCATTGTTCGCCACAGTGACATAGCCGAGCGTTTTTAGTATGAAGTCCTGATAGAAGGGCTTGAGGTTCTGCAGCGCGACAGCCGTTGGCGCGTCCAGTTTCGTCTTGAATTCCGTACTGCCGCTTAAGCTGCACAGATAGTCGGTGATGAGGTACATATAGTGACGCAATTGCTTGAAGCTGTGCGTTCGCACATCAAAAAGTTGCTGTTCCGTTTCCAGAATCGATGAGTTGCTTTGCTTCGTATTACCGTCGTTCGACTTGCTGGTTGGCAGTTGGGCGAGATAGTCCAGCAAGCACACACAGGTTTCCAATATGAGCTCTGGGTCATCGAACATCAGTGTCAGTTCGCGTGCAAACTCCAGACGTGTGTTGTTCGTGTCCACCTGGGCTGGCTGCTGCTCCATCACCGTCTGTGCTTCCAGCACAATGCAGAGAAACTGCCAGAGATGACGTTTGGGTTCCAGCACGCTGAAGAGCGTGGCATAAAGTGGCAGGCGACGATGCAACGGCACATCAATGCATATGTCCGAGAACACTTTTAGGACCGGCACAACAAGGGGCTTGCCTTGGGCGGGCTGTTGCAGCAATGTTGGTATAATGGAGAGCACCACATTGTTAATAATGTGCAGACTAAAGGCGTCGTCGTTTCGCGCCACTGTGGAGCCCACAAACGTGAAGATCTCCACAATCTTATGCAGCACCTGTTGAGGATACAGGTCAGCACAGCGGGTGAGGAAGAGCAGAGCATGTTGTTGTGTTTGTGGATTCTGTGTGTTGCGCAAGCATTGCACGACCAGCTCAATACGAAAGCAGGACTCTGGTAGCACCTTCTTCACGTTCACGCCAGCCGTTTCAGCCGTTTGACAACAATGCAGCAGACAGGAGAGTATCAACTGTTTGGGATGCTCAGCTGCACTGTGCTCCTCTAGCTCCAGACAGGCCTGCAGCAGTCCGAATAAAGCAGGTATCAGGAGCTCAGCGTTCAGAAGGTGCTTCTTGTGCTCTAGCAATTCCAGCAGTGTCATGCCCTGCTTCCAGCTCAAGGAACTCAAATCTAATTGTGCGTTGATGCCGGTGCGACGGCTCCGAGTCAGCGGCTTTTGCAGCTGCATGCTCTGACTGCACACCTCAGACAACATAGGGACCAATGGCTGGCACTCAATAATACAACGTTTGAGCAGTTTGTGAGCAGCTAGAAAGATGCTATCATTATCAGATTGTGTTGCTGCCTGAATGATCAGCTTTATCAAGCCCACTTTATGCTTGGCTTGCATTCGCTCAAAGGTCTCAGGTGTTAGGGTGTTTAGGAGCACACACGGCAAAGGCTGCAGCTTCTGTTCCGTCTGTATATAAACATCATGCTTGGCAAAGCTCAGCTCAAATAGGTTCCACGCCTCCGGGTTGCGTTGTAAAACACTCACCGCCACATTTCCCTCGAAGCGTTCCACTATGGACTGATATATGTTGCTGTAAGGTGATTCCAGTTTCTTCAGTCCCTCCGACGAGGTGGCGTCAATTTTCTCCAGAGCCGAGTGGGCTAGAGGCAGCAAGATGCCCAGCATTTCCTCATTATTGACATGTTTTAGTGGCCGCAGCAGGGCGGCAGTGCAACTTGGCAGCTTTTGGGCATCGGAAATCAAAGCAAAATACTCCCGGCGCAGCTTTGCCAACAGCAATTTTTGCTTCGCTATTTGCTTGCCCGGCTCCAAAATGGTGAACATAATCAGCGCATATTGTTCATGGTCCATGGTAAGTTCGCTGCGGCGCGCCAGCAGCGATTCCACAAAATAAGCCACATGTGGCTCCAACCGGGGAAGTAGAGCCAAAGTTTGCACAGCTTGTGTGCGCAGCGTCGGAAGAGGGGAGGCACAGGCCTGCGATAAACGCAGCACATGTTCCAGCTTGCAGTCTATTTGCAAGTTGTTCTTTAGCACGGCCTGGAGCAGCATGAAGCCGCGCACACGCAACAGCGCATAGTCTGCTGAATTCTTATAGATTTGCGGCAGCTCATCGTACACATAAAAATTGCTCAAGAAGTCGAATTTTTGTTGGGCCTGCGGCAGCATGAAGTTCAAAACTTGCTTCATTGTGTCCAGCCACAATTGACGATCTGACGCGGACGCACGCTTGTCATAGATACGCGCTGTTATGTCGTCCAAGAGGAGCAGGCACAAGCGTAGCTCATCAGTTGGCTGTGTCCAGTTCGTGTTTTCCAATTCCTCAAATTTCACATGGCCTGTGAGCGTTTCCATAAAGTCTGCAAATAACTCTAGAGACACATATTTGGTGTTGTGATTATTATGGCTGGTAGTGCCCGCCATTCGCAGCTCAAATCCATGACTGTAATTGCGCACTTTCTCAAGCATGTTCAAGGCCTCACTGGCATTTAATTTGCGTTTTGCGTAGGCAGTGAGCAACAGCAACAAGTGCGTGAGATTGGCTGCCTCCTTCAGAAATTTGACGCCTCCATGCGCTTCAACGCTTTGTAGCAATGTTTCAGCGCTTAATGATTGCTGCTCCTTTGACGATTTTTCGCTGGCTATGATGTCCAAAAAATGTTGCCGATGCTCGCCCACATTAAATTTTTCAAAGCTCTGGTTCACTTGCAAATTTTTCAACAGCTGCACCTTCGCACAAAACTCACTGTTGACAATAATTAATAGAACCTCGTGCTCGCGGGCATGCAGCGTAGCTTCGCTGGGAAAGAGGTACGGCATCAGGGCCAATAACAACAGATTGTTATCAAAGCTCTCGCTTACAATGCCGCTTGTCAAGTGTTGCACAGCCTGCGGCACAAACTCTAACCATTCCTCGCGCTGTAGTTGCGCTCTCTTAACAAGTTCGCATAGAGTTTGGGCAAATTGCTTAGGGCCAAGCATTTGCACAAAATCCGCAGTGGACAGTTCGCTTAGTAATGCGCCAACGACAGCGGCGCTGTCGTCCTTGATGCGATCCGCCAGACACTGCTGTAAAAGCGTGTAACTGCGTTCACGTTTCTTGGGCACCTGCAAACTTTTTAACAGACTTTTTACAGCACTCAAACGCCAGTCGGCATTATAGTGATAAAGCTTCTCGTAGGCCACCTTTGCACGGTCGTCTGTGGTGTTTAAACGGAAGCCTGAAATAAATGAAAGTGTTAAGTAAAGCAACCAAACACATTTATGGGAATGGAAGCGAAATTTGAATATGCACTGAAGATGATGATTTCTTCTCATTTCCATGCCCTCATCTATTAGTAGTAGTTTATTTACCCAAAGCTAGTCGCAAGGCCTGTTGTCGAGTGCTTGTTTTTTGTTTACTGGCTAGTGCTTCCTTCACACACATATCAAAAGCAACTGGATAGCTTCGCTCCAGCTTTGCCAAGTAATCAGTATACCAGGTTCGAAAATTAGACTTTATGCCTTCCATTTCGTCATCCGAATCTAAGAGTATTGTACCATTATCGCTTTCCTGTAGAGGTTTTTTCAAATTTGGGTGCCCATCTGTGTTGACGTAGTTGTCCAGAAAGCAACTGCAAATCGAAAATCCGTAGCTATTAGAATATGTTCTAGCTTGAGCATCATTTGATTCTCTGGACTTACTTAATAATTTGTTCAGCGCTTGATTGGGACAATGGCACTTCCACCAACAGCTGATTGAGAAACTGTTGATAGGTTTCTGAGGATGGTTGCTCCTTACGCACAGCCAACACGGCGCCACTTACCAGAGGCATGCAAATGGCTTGAATGGCAATGTTCTCCTTGGTCAAACTGACCAGCGATGGGATCAGCCAGCGTTGGCGCACGAGATTGAGCATCGTTTCCGGTTGAAATTTAAGTCTCGCCGACTGCTGCTTGTCCAGTATGAGAATGAGCAACTGCAGTGCCGATTTATGTAGACGTTCGAAGGTGCAGTTCGCGACACGTTCCAGAAAAACATTGCATATTTTCATCTTAAGTTTGGTGCGCAAGACGAGCTGGGCCAAAATCACAAATGAGGCGGCTACAAAGTCCAGCGTGCCCGAGCGTAAGCCGCGCAGCAGTGACTCCAGTATGCTGGTAATGTGCCAGTCCTTCACTGGTTCTGCCACCTGCAGTACTCCCACAACAACAGTGGAATAGAAATTCAATTGGGTCTGCAATTGATGGGCGCGTGGTCCCATTTCCTTAACAGCTCTTTGTGTGGACCGACAAATGAAGTTGAGAAACTCTTTTTCGCTAGAGGCACGATTGATGATTGCTGATTTAGCTAGCGTCACGCCGGGTCGTTGCAAGCGACCGAGCCAGTCCCAATTCGGGCAGTCCCTCAGCTTCATCGTTTGCAGCACCTGCACAAAAGTATTTGTCTCATGGTAGGGCAAAATGAGTGCCATGACATCATCACGATTGTACACATGCACCTGGAAGCGGCGCAACAGCCACTCGAAGCACATGTGCGCAGGCCTCAGCAAAAAATATGGTGATAAATGTTGCAGAAACTTTGCAATATTTAAGTCGAGCAGCTTATTCACTTCAGCAGTCTCCACGGCCCGTTCCATAGTGATGCTCGCCTCATCAAAGAGCGTTAACTCGAATTGCTTGAAGGCCGGATTAAACGTCTGGAGCTCCAGCAAGCCACTAGAAGCAATGTCGAAAATTTCACGCCTGTCCTTGTTGGCTGCTTCTTTTGGATCGAACAGAATAGAGGCGCGACTATGTGCGTCTGCCAATTGTATTGATGTTTGCGGAGCTTGCAGCTTCCGCAACTGTTGTGCCAAAGACGTGGCCATTTTTGTCGTTTTTAAACTAAATCTTAATACAACCAAAAATTCTTCATAGAAAGTTAGCGGCTTAAAAACGTGCTTAGAGATGCAACAACGTGAACGATTTGCAATTGTCGATAAGATTCTATCGAATGTCGATTCTTTTTGCAGGTGGCGTTGCCAGATGATGTTTAGCAAGTGCATTCATTTATTTCAATAGGTGTTGCAACTGTCGTTGCGGCAAAGATATTTGTTTTAAATTCCACAGGAAAGAATTTTGAAGAATGCAAATTGCAATCATGCTTCGGCACAAAATATATATCTGAATTCGCTACTAGGTTGATAAACAGATAATAGATATTCTAAAAGGGGTACATTCTTCAGATCTAACGTTAACAGTGACCATATGAAGGCTGTTGGTGTCTAGGTATAGCATTATATCTTTATTTAATGTTAAAAGTTTCTTAAAATAAGTTTAATCTCAAAGGTACAAATTTCCTTAGAATGTTGTGAGCAGTAAAAACGGTGGTAATGAATGACGAATGAACATTTAAAATAAAAACTCAATGACATTAAGCGAACTTCAATACTATTCTAAATACTTTAAAATAAAACTGGAATCGGTGATTCATACATACATACGTTTAAATAAGAACAAGTTTGAATATTAAAAGCACAAACGCTTGAGTGATTTTTTGCGACTGAGCTTGGCATCGTTCTTTGTGGCGCGTTTGGGCGGCGTCCCGTTCTCGGGCAGTTGCACAATCTTCGAAGGTGTATCAAGTTCGGTGACTAGGCACTTCTCTCCAGGATGAGACTGGCAAAAGCAGTGCAGGCAGAAACGGAATTTGCAACATATGCCAGTGCACTCGGCGAACGTCTCCACAGCATCGGTGGTGGGCTCCTCCGGCGATCGGTGCATCTCGTCCAGCGAGTAGAAGCGCGTAAAAGGCGCTTTGCGCTCGCAAGTGGAGGGCTGTGTAATAGGCATTGTGCGGGAGAGGACAGCGGTGGAATCTTCAATGTTGTTCTCCTTTATCATTTCTTTGCGATACACCTTACTGCTTTTACCGCAGCGCGGGCACTTGACGCGTTGCGATTGCTCTACCAGCATAGGACCATGTCCTTTGTCCAAGTCCTTCATTTGGATGTCATTTGAGGTAGCCTTCTCGAACAGTGGCGAGTTTGGGCTTGCGTTTGTAATGGCATTGAATGGTTTTAATGGCACAGTTTGATTGTTGAGCATTGCACGCGTACGGCGCCGCTTGACTTTCACATTGCGGGGATTCTCTTTGGTCAGATTCATCTTCAGACGATGGTTCTCCAGTCTTTCGACAGCACGCGGACTTTTGTAGACAGCTTGCGCCCACTGTCTCGATACCTGCGTCATTTTGTCCAGCGTAGCTGCATTCACGTGGCTCAGTATGCATTCCAGGGCCGGAATATTGTTGGCCATCATACCGACAATGTCCAGGTGCTCCACTCCGTTATAGTGTAAGCGACGCTGTTTGGAGTCCTGCTGGAAAAGCGTCTTCTTGGACTTCTTGGGACTGTTGTGGGATGCCTGGAAGTGCATCTTTCGTCGCTTGCTGGCTAAGTGATTCTGATTGGGTAGCGGTGATGTGTGCGATGTGTCCGCACTAGTCCCTGCGGCGCTGCTGTTTGTTGCCGTCAGCGGACTCACTTGCTTGCAACATTGCGATGCAGAGCCCGTGTAGCAGCTGCATGGCGTTTGGAATTGCGTCGAAGTTAAATTCTTGTACAGATTGTGTGTGCAGTTTGTGATGTTGCCTGCATTTTGGCAGTTTTCTGTGTCGTCAGTCAAAAATGGCGCCTCCACGGTTGAATTGAGCAGTGAGTGTGCAATTTGGAAGGACGCGTAGCCGGACTCGTCCATTGCACTATCAAATGCATCCTTCCCTTTTGCTAATGGTCGGTTATTGGCACTCATGTTGATGCCAGGCCATATGCAAATATGTTTATTATTAAATTATCATTTGTTGCTTGTTGTTTTTAGTCTTTTGTTTAATAAATCACAAATGTGGCCGTACTGCGAATATGGCCAATGCCTAATGGGTCAGTAGAGCGTCGATTACATTGCTTACGATAACAAGCAATCGTTATCAGTTGGAAGTGCCTAAATAAGGCTGATTGCTGTGAAACGCAGCTACCGGCGTTGGTGTTTGTTTGTTTTATATTAAAAATTATACGCTCCGGCGCATATAAGCCTTATTTGTGGTAACTTCACTCACTTCCAACATTTCGGCAATGTTTATAATCCAGATTAATGCTAGGTTTTGTCTAATTTTTTAAAATCAACTTAAATTCAAAGAAATGTAATATTTCAGACAATTTTCTTGGCTTTAAACACACGTGAATCACAATATTTTGACATATTATACTTTACAATGATAATAGAGAAATTCAGGCCATCGGATACACTTGGCTTAAAAATAAATGATTAAAAATAACCAAATCGCAATCATAGCAATTGTTGCTGTTGTTTCTGTTTCAATAAAATTTGTAGCAATTTGTAACAAACAGATAAAGCAGTATAACTGCATAGAGCAGTTCAAAGTAAAATATAATATTTTGACATATTATACTTTACAATGATAATAGAGAAAAAATGCTCGCCATTGTATACACTTGGCTTAAAAATATATAAATAAAAATAAACTTATCAAATGCAAAGCAGCTGTTGCTGTTGTTTCTGTTTCAATAAAATGTGAAGCGGACAAGCAGCGTAAAGCAGTATAACTGCATAGAGCAGTTTAAAGCAAAATACAATATTTTGACATATACATATACTTTACAATGATAATAAAGAACAAATTCTGTCCATCGGACACACTTGGCTTGAAAAATAAATAATCAAAAATAAAAAAAACAAAATCATAGCAATTGTTGCTGTTGTTTCTGTTTCAATAAAATTTGTAGCAATTTGTAACAAACAGATAAAGCAGTATAACTGCATAGAGCAGTTCAAAGCAGTTGCAGTCTCATGTAGCCTGCTTTATCTGTTGCTCCTACAGTTAATATCCGCATTGAGTCCTGATGAGGAAAAGGAGGGGGAATACAAAGCTATTTAATAAAGCTGCTATGTGTTTTTTGGTGTTGTATGCGATAAGCTATCCAGGAACATCAAAAACTAGCCAACAAATAAAATACATTTTCAAATATTTAGTAATGGCTTTTAAGCTTGTATTCACAATCTTATTTGAGTAATGTTTTGTTATTAAATTTTAATCATAACCTTTTATTCATTTGCTAACTTTTCTACAAGAAAATTGTGATTCCCGCACATCAAGGCATAAAGCAACTCTTGTTGCTTTTAATTACGATTTTTAAATATGTTTGAAGTCCCCTTGTTTGGTTTCAAACCTCAAAGACTTCAGTTAGAATAGGCTCGTCTCTAAGGAGCTGCTCGTTGTAAATTGTAATTTGGCTTTTTGGAATGGTCTCCTTTATAGGACATTCGTGGTTATTACTTTGCGGACTATACCATAAAGAAAGAAGCCAAGTCTTGCGATCTTCCTAGTGCCGATGTTCTCTCCTTTATGTTGTTCTATAATGCTTTTTAAAAAATTATAATACGTCTGCTGTTATTAATAATTTCGTTTAAATATATGTTTCAAAATCGAACAAATATATTAAACTGTGGGCTTGCTCTTTAAATGTATAGAGTATCGCTTTCTATTTTTTTTTTATTCCTTTTACTTTTACTTCATCATTGGTTAAGCTCCTAGCTTCTAGGATGTATTATAATAATTCTCAGATGCATTATCAAATCTGCAAAATCTGCACAAAGAACTGTTTTAATCAAATCCGTACTTATTTATTATTTATTTAGATTTAATTATAAATAATATGAAGGAAGATTTTGCATAATTTATAGAAGAAGAAAAATATGAAACAAAATATTAAAATTAAAATATTAAATTATAAATGATATTTGTTGCATAATTTATAGAAGAAGGAACAAATGCAACAAAATAAATATTTTTTGAAACTACTTTTTTCCCGATAATTTTTATTACTTTGAATTAAATCTGTATTAGGACTTATAATTAAAAATATTATTGATATAACAAATATTAAAACTAATATGATAAAACGCTTACTATTTTCATCTCTTCTTAATATTTTCATCTCTCCTTAATTATTATTTTCTATAAAAAATAACAAATGAAGCAATTATTAATACAAAAGATATAAACAATAAACTTATACAATAAAAAAAGGGTTATAACAATATTTATTGAATTTAAAGAAAAACTTGTCAACTTCTCTAAAACAAATTTATTGATATTTTCTCACATTTTAATGGATTTAAAGGTGTTTAAAACGCACCTATTTATGATAAATAAATAAATGTACATCTTTTATATTTATAATTTATAAGATTATTTTCTTCTACCCCTAGAATATAATAATAACAAATAAATAAATGATCACAGAGGCCGCTTTTGAGCTCATTAATTGTCACTTGCAGATTGTTGTTGTCTTTGGGCAAAAAGGCAAACAAACAAGATGTAGAATTTACAAACAGACATACATACAAACATATATCAAGGATATCACACATACATATGGCCATTTAGAAAAGGACACTCGGGATAATCTGTTCGTGGCATCAGTGTCATCAAATTAAGAAAAGCCCTCAATAATTTATCATTTGTTCTGTTTCAGGTTTTCTCGACCCCAACTGCCTCCGCCTCTCCCTCTCTGACTTCTCCCTTCCACCCGTGCGCCACGTTGTTGCTGCGCTTTTCCAGCCCACAGGTTTTTGCGGCTCAAGTTTGTGGAAATCATGACGGGGCTTAGATTTCGAATTCATGTGAAAGCAACCCTCTTGCCATGATAGTTTCATCAGATGTCCTTGCTGGCTGCCACTTCATCCACTTGCTGGAAGGTGGATGAGGAGGAGAGGCAGAAATCAATGAATGATATTTCTTTATGAGGCTCAATTATTTGTTGCGGGGATTTGCTCTTTCTTTCCATGCTGTCATCAGCGTTCGTGCTTTATTGTCCTTTTAAATACTTTGGCAAAATATTTTGGGCATTTGTCTGTAGTCCTTTGTGCGTCCCAGGCATCAGGAACCAAGCCAAACCTTCCTCCCATCGCCTGTGGTAATAATTTATGAATATTTGCTCATTTATTGTTTTGCATTATTTATGCTTTTATTACTGCTGTCTGATGGACGGAAGGCAGGCGGCAAAGATTTTGTTTTGATTTTAATTAAATCGACAGGCGACGGCGAACAGAAGCTTAATTTAAAATCGTTTCGAGGCCCTAATCGTTATTAAACGCTCGTCAGATTAGAGGGAATTAAAGCTGAATTTATTGAAATGAATATGGAAGAGGTCGTACGAACTATTCTCAACAATTCTAACAAAAGAAAGAATGCACGAAAAGTGTCTTTTTAGCTTGAGAGCTATATTTTACTTTTCTGTATGTCATTTAATTATTAATATTATTTCCTAGTGCAACAAGAAATATTGAAGAAACATTTGTACAGATTTTGAGAGTTTCTTTCCATCAATTACTTTTCAATATTTATATTTAAACGTGCTGTTTAAACCTGGTCGGTTGTCTAATTAGAGCGTTAGATGGTGGCTCGAAAAGTATGTTTATTTGTGCAGATATATACAAAACTGATTAATTTGAATTTACCCAAGCGTGTCGAGCTTATATAAAAAAAAGTACATATACGTGTACATAGCTGGGAATTCGAGTGCAAATATTTGCGCACAATCCGTACATATGCTCTAATTATTATCCTTTTAGCTGTGGGCAGTGCCGTTCCGCATTACGTTGACATCGACACCCCACACCCCACACCTCCAACCCCTCACCCACCCCCAGGCAGTCCGGCAATCGCACAACTGCTGACCGGACCCTGTGAGGCAAATGTTCAAATAGCGGTAAGGTTGCTCCGTCTATTTCGAACCAACTAATTATGGTAATTTCCAGCGGAATGTCAACAAATATTTTGTACCCGGTTATTTAGCTGCACGGCCGCGACACACGTAACCGGCCAAGACTTGGACATTTTTTGACAAACGATGTTTACCAAGTGCCCATAATATGCTGGGCACCACAACCTACAGTTAGAGAAAAAACTGTTATCAATGAAAGCTGCGCCTGTAACTCAAATGTTTTAGAATTTGTTTTTTATCAGTTATTTGAATTAAGAACATTACAATAGTAATTATTTTTTGTTGTTGGCATTTTCGAATTTAAATTCAAACACCACACCTGCCAAACGACGGCATCCTGGCAACGCCGCACATTTCGCCAATCGATAGGTGGCGCCCTAAGTTTTTAACTACGAACGAACGATCATAAAGATGCCAGTAACTAAAATGTTTTCGAATTTGTTTTTATCACTTATTTGAATTAAGAACTTTACAATAGTTTTGCTGTCCTATTAATTATCTTTTGTTGTTGGCATTTTCAATTTGAAATTCAAACACCACTCCTGCGGAGCCTAATTACGGCATTCAGCCATGTTGGCAATGCCGCACATTTCACCAATCGATAGGTGGCGTCTTCACTTTAAACTACGAACGTACGATCATAAAGAAAGGACGTAGACGGCTATTTTTTTGTGGCTGCCAATTAAATTGTTATTTTCCAAATTTAAATTTGTTTTTAGTCACTTGATTCTTGCACGACAAATTCTGTTTTTACACGGTTTGAAAATTAAACATTTTATATATGGTTATGGTTACACGACATTATTCCATTTAGCAACATTTAAAATAAATATCTTTTTTTACACGATTTTTCTTACACGACTTTTTCTGGAATTAATATACCGTCTAAAAACAGAATTAGGTGTATTTGATCGCGTTTATTCGTCTCTGATGTGAAATTAATTAAAAATGAGCTTGAATATGAAAATATATTTGCCTATTGTTAGATTGTTTCTTACATTAAATAGTTTAAAAAAAAAATAGTTTATTCATATTAAATTCAGAACATTTTGTATTTGTACTGTATATTTCTCTGCGTGTACCTATGCATATATTATATGTTATGAATACGACTGTTAGCTTGTGTTTTTTTGTTGTCCTTGTAAAAACATGAATCGGTCTGATTATTTTTAACCAAGGATAACGACTAGCACTCGGCGTTTATTGGTATTGTGGGCAGAGGGACTTGAACCTGAAACTGAACCCAATTCGCTTGATTGTGTTTGATTTTGGCCGCT